AGCGCCTCTTGCACCCTCTATCCGGAACTGCAGCCTGCCAGTTCCGGACGGAAGGTGCAAGAGGCGCTGTCTTGAGGAGAGCCGGCGAGCGATGCCTGAGAGCGGAGCTTGCTCCCGGCCCGTCCTTGAAGAGCGCCTCCAACAGTGCAGCCAACAGCAGCTGCTGCTGCTGCCGCCTCTTCCAGGGAAGCGGCTCTCTTTCTCTCTCAGCACCCCCAGCACCAGCCCAGCCAGCGACCACCTCTGCACCCAGCAGTGCTTCCTCCTTCTCTTCGTCCTTCTTCAGCTGCCTCTGCTCTGGAGGCTGCCTGGCCTCGCCTCGCAAAGTTTGCTCCCCTGTCATGGTGGGGGTAGCTGCTGCTGCTGCTGCTGCTGCTGCTGAGTGCACCTTTTTCTGAGGGGAGGCCCTCAGAGGAAGGTTGCCAGACTTCCGTGTTTGTGTGCGTGCACACGCACGCAACTGTGGGGGGGACCGCCCCATTCTGTTTAATTTCGCAGGTATCAATGGGAGCTTTTCTCCTTTGGCAAGGCAATTCCGTGAGGTGTTTTTTAAAAAAAAAAAAAAATCTGATGCGGCCTGGTCTCACCCAGACTCTGCCTCCAGCGGCCCCCAGGTAATTTGAGTTTGAGACCCCTGCTCTATGACCATAGACTTACACTGTGGACTAGAACCTAATTGAAGGAAGTAACAACCTCCATGTAATTATTTGTCCCATTTTTAAGTCTTTAAAAAGCTTCTAAACAACAATTTGAAGATGTTCATTATGCAACAATCCTTATTTACAGATCTGATATCAAGAATCATTCTGATGATGAAAACTTGCTCATAATGAAATACAAAGTAATCCATAATTTCTTGTTCAACACAAAAGCAGCCAAAGAATAACATTTTATTACATACCAGTTTATATTATGGTAGTATCTTGCAGGAACATTCAAGAAAAGAAAATATTGACAAATTCACATTTTCTATTTAAACATTTTAAAACAAAAGACTTAAAACCCACCAAGGCTTAAGCACAGGGGTCTCAAACATGCAGCCCGCGGGCCATTTGTGGCCCGACAGACGATAGTTTGTGGCCCTGCCTTGCCTGCCCCCCCCCAAAGTGCCCTGTCTGCTGGCTGGCAGGCTGCAGTTGTGGATGGAGGGTGCAAGAGGCGGTCTTGGGGGAGAGCCGGCGAGGGAGGCGCGGTGCCGGCCCTTTTCCCTGAGTGTCCAAGCCGCTGCTGAGCAATGCCTGAGAGCAGAGCTCGCTCCCAGCCCATCTTCGAAGAGGGCCTCCAAGCCGCCAACAGAAGCTGCCATTGCTGCCTCTTCCAGGGAAGCAGCTCTCTGCCTCTCTTTCTCTCTCGGCACCCCCAGCACCAGCTCGGCCTGCAGCAACCTCAGCACCCAATGATGCTTCCTCCTACTCCTACTCCTCTTTGTCCTGCTTCAGCTGCCTCGGCTCTGGAGGCTGCCTGGGCTCACCTCACAAAGTTTGCTCCTCTTTGTGGTGGGGGTAGCTGCTGCTGCTGAGTGCGCCTTTTTTGAGGGGGGCCCTCAGAGGAAGGCTGCCAGACCTCCGTGTGTGTTTGAGTGCGGGTGCGCACGCACCTGTGAGAGGGCCCACCCTGTTTTGTTTACTTTCGCAGGTACTGGTGGTGGATTTTCTCCTTTGGCAAGGCAAATTCTGTGAGGGTTTTTTTTTAATTTTATGTTGCAACCCCTCCCCCCCCCGGCTAAGCAGTCGCCAGCGCTCCCTCCCTTCTCCGTTTCTTCTTCCTGCTGCTGGTGGTGGTGGTAGTGAAGAAGAAGCTGGAAGGGGTCGTGGCCAGCGATGAGGGCTCGCACGGCCCTCCTCCTCGGAGCCCCAGTCCTGGGTGGCTTCTTGCTCCACTTGGCAGAAAATCTGATGTGGCCCAGCCTCACCCAGATGCTACTTCCAGCGGCCCCCAGATAAATTGAGTTTGAGACCCCTGCTTAAGCCGTTTTGAGAGACTATAATATTCTGCAACTGTCATTACAGGACCAAAGCTTAGAGCATGTATTTTGCATATAAATAGCAGGTTCAGGTCCTACTACTGCAGTAAATACAGACACTACTAAGCTAGTTACGTTTGTTTTTGTACAATGTAGTAAAGTTGAGGTAAGTCACTGGCAAGCCAGAGCTTCTACTTAGTCCACATAACCCCTAATTAAACATCTCAACTGTTCACACTCCCAAAGTACTTTTACCCAATGACTTTTTAACCTACTCCTATCTAATGTGAATACAGCTTGTTCCTTTACGTGCTGCAGCTGCCAACTCTGAGGCAACGGGTGTTTAAAATCTTACCAAGCCCAGAGTGTAAACAGCAAAACTTAGAGGTCTTCCCTTTATAAACCTCAACTGCTCATTCCTCCTCTCTTGTGCTGAAAAAAGTAGCAAGCAACACAGAAAGTATAAGGAAAAGCCCCAGGAATGCTACCACTTCTGCTCACACTGGGCATAAATTCAGAGAGCCCTCTGCTTGTTCCTTAACTCAGATAGCAAAACTTGACAGCACTTTGGCTTTTTCTTCAGTTGTTAAAAATATATTGTCCATGAGGCACACAAATGACAGACATGATTACTGCTCAAAGATGTGAGGTGGGAGTGGGGGAATGTTGTTACTCATTTTGACTGAATACACTAAGACCTAAACTGAGATTATTTAAATTGGCAGAGCAGCTAATCAAGTTCCAATACTTTGATTATTTAATATTTAACACACTCCTTCCAAGACTGTATGAGGCAAACAGCCTTTGCTACAAATTTTCCAAAGACATTGGAAACCTGGGCACAGGTGGCTGAACTACATGGACCCCTGGTCCGATTCAGCAGGATTAAGACATCTCAAAGAGAAACTCCAGTTATAAATTAAAAACATTCTTGCAAGTTGTTTCTTTCTGATACAAAAAGAAACTGTTTAAAAAAACACTTTTATCTGAAAGGGGAAATATAATGTTTAATTTTGATGTCACATCTTCAAACCATTGTTTGGAGAGATGATCAGAAGGATCCTGCCGATGTGTATGTTCTCTCTTTCCCTCTTCCATCCATGTTTCCCATAATTCCAGATTAGCATTGCTTCTGTAATAGGACTTACTGAAGAAAACAACTTATTAGGGCTAACCAAATAAATGACACAGACTACATTTCAGCCTATGGTTTGAAAGCAACCCTGGATAGCTCTAAGCATAATCAGAGGAGATAGTATGAAATCAGGGCTACAGCAAGGCATGGCAAAAGAAAGAGGTACTTAAGATGTAGGAAGAAGAGTTGCATAACACTAATCTATTTCAAGTATTGTGGCTCTTTGTGCAAGCTGCAATAAACCAAGTCACACTGTTTTGTTTGAACTAGGAAACTATACCTATCAGCTCCAGAGCAAGCCAGGATATTCAACCAACTTTAAAATAAGATTTAAGTCCCTGGCTTTTTCTGAAACCATAAGATACCATATTTCATTTTAATGACACTGTAGTTTTGATAAGACATTTCTAGTTTAACTGCAACTCATGTAAAGGGGGAAACATGTCTACATGCACCAGCAACCTTGTTTTCATGTATCACCCTGTTAAGTCAAGACATGTAATTATGTCTTTGGAGGTCCAGTACTAGTACAATCTTTAAAATATATTTCATTGTTAACTATACCAGCATTAGCAAGTAAACCTTTTTAAAAGATGTATGGAAAGCATGTGGGTGTTTCTGCAATCTTGTTTAAACTGTCTCTTAAAAAGTGTTCTCTCTGTGGGGGGCCTTTGTAGAAATAATGCAAAGGCTTTATAAATGAATTTTAATAGAAACCTATTATTCTATTTCAGGGAGCAACTTTCAAATCAGTCTAAATATTTTTGTGGAACATAGGTAAATGAAATCGGGAATCTCTGCATTCATGATGTACTTTAGCTGTCTTAATGGACATGTATTCTGCACTCTTCCTCCAGATTTGATCAAGGATGTGTGGGGTGTTTTTAGTTACGGGGGGGGGGCTTTTGATTTTTTGCTGTTTTGTTTTTGCCACTAAAATGAATGATTGGTCTAGCTTCACTTTCTGAAGAAGCTTGTAAATGTATCATAGAAACATTCCTACATTAAGACAAGCATCTGCATGTTCACCTAAATAGTCAAAGATCACTTCTTTCTCATCATATTTTTCAATACTTCACTTAGGAAAGTGAAGAAAATAAACTTGCTTTAAAACAGATGGCACCCATTTTTCTACTGGAACTTCTAACACAACAAGACAATGTGGTTTGCAAATATGCCCTAACATTGTAAGTGAAGAATCCATGGAATGGACAGCACTTTAAATGGGTTCAGTATTTGAAGGTTTATTATATCAGATATCATTAGGTAGGGAAACAGTTTGCCTAAACTTCAAGAACCTTCTTCAGCAACCACACTTTCTAAGAATCTTAGAGAATACAGCAAATAACCAAAGGCTATTTTATTAAGGGGTTTTATTGTTGGAATTTAATTTATACAAATGAGCTCCTCAGAAAGAAATACTACGGGATACAGTCTGTTCTATAATATTCACCATACTGTAAAAAAAAAATCAAACATCCAATAACAAAGCCCATGAGATGAATTAATAATTATGGACTTATTCCTTCAGTAAGCATGCTGAAAGGAAATTATTAGTGCACAGGTATTGTTGGTGTACAGTTGCATGTGAGCAAGATTATAAAATAATTGATCGCACTAGTTCCTTCTCAAGCTAAGTGTGAAATATACTGGAAAATGTGGATCTGTCATTCATGTATTAACAGGAAATTTTATTTTCAACTCAGCATAATGCGGATTTCAAAAACAATATACTAGCCTTAATACTATTCTGTATAAGTTCCTAATTTCTCAAGAAGAAATGACATTATTTCCAGGAAAATGTTAATTTTCATACTGAATAATCCATCCATTACTTGAAGCTAAGTAGCCAAACACAAACAGAATCCTTCATTAGTGTTCTGCTATTATTTAAATACTTACAGTGAAAAATACGGAAATCAATGTATGGATGAGAACCTCTTCTCTCTGTTTCAAATCCTGCCCGACTTCTTACTCGTACATCTCCTAGAAATAGGGTCAAGAGTGAAATACACTGCATCGAAGAGCTACAGAGAAAACTGCAACTGAGCACAGCTGCAAGATGTAGATGTTTATGTACGTAGTGGTACATAATTGTAACAATTATAAATGAATCTACTCAATGGTTTTTACTCTCAAGGCAGTTTCAGAACAAGTTTGAAGATCTTTCAAACATGTAACTGCATGCTTCTCATAAATCTATTTCTATACACAGCCAAATGTATGTACTCAGACAACAATGCATATGCTAAACTACACTACCATAACGAAAGACCAAAGCACAGCAAACAGGAAAAAGTTAAAACTTAATTTTTTCTTCTAGTATCATTAACATCTTTTATCCAAAAAGATCAGTTAAACAGCTTTATTACAATGATCTTAATTTTTGTACCATAAACACAACTGTGTCTACAACTACAAATATTGCCACTAATGTTTACTTAGTCATGTTCAGTTGATTATACAAAGCTTCACTAAAATACTAAAAACTATAAGGGGACAAAAACTGCATACATTCTCCACTTCAGCTAAATCAGTTATCACTCTTATTAAAAAAACATACATTTTACTACCTGAATCTGAGCAGTCAAATGAACAAATACAACTATATTCCTTGACCCACTAGAACACATTGGGTAAGGAAGATTGTGAGAGGCGGGTACTCAATCAGCTACCTGCATCCTTTGCTTTTGCAGTACAACCCACAGAATTTTGCTAAAGGAGACTGAACATATACATACAAAATTACTTCATGTAGCATCCTAAGTCTTTTTCAAATTAAAAGGATCCAATGAAGAAGTTAGTTACATTAAAGTTTACAGTATAATCTAGTATTGACCCATGGCCAACCATGGCCTGATGTTGGGAGCTAGCCTCACATTTTGTGGTTCCTCCTTCTCCTCCAACAAGCCAAAACTGACAACCAATGCAATCAAAGTTTCCAATTATAGCTGGCATTAAAATTCAAGTTTACACAAATCACAGTTTGACAAGCTCAAACATCATGGCAATCAATAGCTGCCATGTGAGGAGGAAACCAGAAGGATGTACACAAGTTCACTGCTTGCTTGGCAAATAGTGGTACGGAGAACATCCAAACTGACTCGCCTTTCAAATCTGAAGTAGGAAAACCTCAGGCCCTCAACTCACTACAGACTTTGCGCTAATAATGTATTTCCAAAGCTGAATGATATAGCTTTAAAACACCACCACTGGATCAACTATAGATACATGGTTGGCTTTCTCCTAACAAATGCCTCTTTGCTCAATTACTTTTTCAAACATATGTCACCTTCTGCAGAAACTCTAATAATGCAAAAATTGTTTTTTTAAAGTTTATTTTTAACCTTTAAAAAAATAAAAAACAAAAATCAACGAGGAAAACAACTGATCTCATTGCCAGTAACTAAATATAAGAGCAAGAAAAACACTTTTCTCTGAACATATGCTTTGGCTCTTTGGATATTTTTGGTTTCTTTTTTAAAAAACATTTTTTTTGCTTTGCTTTATATATAATAAAACACAACAGAAGCTCACAGTAAATTCTACATACCTGTTGGATCAAATGTACAGTCCTAATCTTTGCCAGCACCAATCTCCCAGGTCAAAATGTTCACAATTAGGCTATCAGAACTATTTCAGAATAAGCCTCAAATACCAGAGTAATAACTGAAAGCAAAGAGCACTCTGGCCTCTGCAATCATCCAAGAGAGAAAAAGGCAACTGGAAGACCTTTACTTTCTGGGAACCACTTCACAGCAAAAGAGACCAACTTGATCGCATTTATCAGTCACAGAAAGAGTAAATGAAGGAAGCTTGCTTCCTTCAACCTTGTCATAAAGAAGCCAACCCCACTGTGCTTAGAAAAAAATAAGTGCTGGAATATTACTATAACAATATTTATATGAAGGAATTTCAGCAGTGGCATCCATTCTGATAGTTTGAATCTTCCAAAATGTTGACGGTTCAGTGAGAGGCTGGGGCAAACATTTGGCCATACATTTTATCTCAATAAAATCACGTGACAAACTGTCTGTTCTATTACAGTGGACCCTCTACTTATGGAATTAATCCGTATTGGAACGGTGGCTGCAGGTCGAAAAGTCTGTAGGTCGAGTCACCATTGACCTACAATGCATTGAAAACTGATTAATCTGTAACCAGCCGTTTTTGTTCCATTTTTGTTCCATTTTGGTTTTTTTCTGGTCTCTAGGTCGATTCTCCGGCTGCAAGTCGAACCTAAATTTTGCAGCCAGAGAAGTCTGTAACTCGAAAAGTCTGTAAGTCGAGCCGTCTGTAAGTCGAGGGTCCACTGTACTTCCTACAAAAGTGAACTGCAAAAGAGCAACTATGTGGGATCCTTCAGATACAACAGCTGCATTCAGACATAATACGATCCTCCAGAGTAGATCTAAGAGCATGAGAAAAGGGGAGAAAGGAAACCATCTTGGACATCTGTTATTTCATGCATGTAGTGAGAATGGGGAGTGCAGGAGCTTGGTGAGCCCAAGACTGCAGTGGTGATGATAGTTTCTAAGAAGACAATAGCAACTGCATAAGCCCTTAGTTAAACTGAGTGATATAAACCATCTATTTAAACATTCCATGTTACTTTCTGATCTTTATAAATGAAAGAGATTACATACAAATACATCATAGGAGTCAGAGATAAAGTGGAACAGGGCAGGTTGCATGTTATAAAACTCTAACAATCCCAACTGCATACAGTTCCACTTACATGGACTATAGGTCGGAATGGAAGGACAAATTTTAAAATGTGATTCTTTCAAATCCTTCCCAACAGAAGGAATAGAATATCTGAATTAAAATCTTAATAATGAATATTGATTCGATGTGGGGCAACACAAGTAATGACTTAAGCCTCAGATAACTAGGAGCTCACTGAACTCAGCAACTCCAAATCCCAAGAGCCTTTCTAAATATTCAGTCAGCCATTTCCTCCTGTGTGAACAGAAGCTTTGGCAATACAGTACCTCTTTAACAATCCCTTTTCTTATGAACAGCAAAAAGAGACTTTGATAGAGCCCCTCCCTGACTACAGCCATCCATTTGAATGTGTCTCCGCTGGCACAAGTAAGTTAACAGCTGCACTGCCTTAGGGGGAAACTCTTGACAGTTTATTCCTGTTCACATTGGAAGCAATAGATAAATAAAAGAAACTCTGCTCCAAATTCAGTATACATGAGGATGAATTAATAAGCAGAGTCAATGTTGCTATCCCTATTTAGAAATTAATTCTTAAGAAGGTATTTCATAATTTATAACTTGCAACTCTCTGTAATAAAATAGTAAATTTCAGTTTCAATCTCTAATTAAGAAAACCAAAGATAGACAATGCAGTGTAGTGTATAGAGTGACAAACTAGAACTCTGGAGACCACAGTATGAATCCCCACTAAACCATGGAAACTCACTGAGGTAATAGAATTGGTAAAACGATTCCTTAAATATCTCACTTGCCTGGAAAGCCCTTTCAGGGTCGCTTTAAGTTGGTTCCAACTTGACAGCATGTAAAAACAACAAGAAAACCAAGAGAACTACTTCCCTACCATTACATAACATCAAAATAGTCCAGCATTGTTTCAGCTCCCTGGATGTGTCCTAAAAAGTTGTTACTTTGCAGTTGCTACTATGACTTGCCGCCTCAAACTAGATACATTGCGGGGAGTTAAAGCAAACAATAAAAGTGAATGTTTATCAAAGCTAACACTACCCAACAATATAACAATACTATCTACTACTTCTCAATGATATGCATTGAGTTAATCTAGCTCAATATATGCTACTGTTTTAGACAGGTATTAAAAAGTGAGTAGTGCTGTGCCAAAAATTTCTTCACGAAATTGCATGGTAAAGTGGGCTCAAAATACAGTGGTGCCTCGCTTAGCGATTGCCTCGTTTAACGATGTATTCGCTTAGCAATGAGGTTTTTGGAGCGATCTTGCGCTCCGTTTAGCAATGTTCCCTATGGGGAAATTTTGCATAGCGATGTTCGGGACCTTGCTTTGCTTAGCGATGACAGTTTAGGTCCCCCTGTTTCGCTTAGCGATGTCAGTTTTCGCTATTTTAAGTGTGTCTTAAAATGTTCAAAAACTGTTTAAAATGCTTGGAATCGTTAGTGCACCTTTTAAAACCTTTGCAAACTTAATTTGGCTTTGTTCTGAGTCTTCGTTAATTTTTGGTGAATTTCCCCCCCCCCACTGGAATGCATTGAACTGTAGGTTTGACAGTTCAATGCATTCCAATGGGAGGGAAAAATTCACCAATTAAGGAAGACTCAGAACAAAGCCAAATTAAGTTTGCAAAGGTTTTAAAAGGTGCACTAACGATTCCAAGCATTTTAAACAGTTTTTGAACATTTTAAGACACACTTAAAATAGCGAAAACGGACCAGTCAAAACCATTGAAATGAATTGAAACCTATTCAATGCATTCCAATGGGGGAACCGCGTTTCGCTTAGCGATGTTTCCTATGGCGATTTTCACTTAAGGACGGTGGGAAATGGTGTTTCACTTAGCGATGTTTTCCCATAGCGATGGTTTTTTTGGAACCAATTAACATCGTTAAGCGAGGCACCACTGTATAGGACATAATATAGAGTGCCTGGTCACAAATTTGGGAATGAAATATTAAAATGACTAAATCTATAAATCTAAAGAAAATATTTACAAAATGTTTTACAGATGGTATGTAACACCACAGAAATTAACACAAATGTTTAAAAATGTTTCTAACAAGTGCTGGGAATGTAAAAAGAATGTAGGGAGCTTCTGTCACATGTGGTGGACGTGCAATAAGGCCAAGGAGTTTTGGAAAATGATTCATGACATGATAGAGAAAATTTTAGGGGTTAAATTTGCTTTGACACCAGAAAGCTTCTTACTGAATATATTACCACCTATACTAAAAAAAGAGAGACATATTTGACCTTACACCTGATAATGGCAGCTAGAATTGTATATGCC